GGAGGGAAGGAAGGAAGGAAGGAAGGAAGGAAGGAAGGAAGGAAGGAAGGAAGGAAGGAAGGAAGGAAGGAAGGAAACGCAATATGAGCTTAAGAGATAGTATAACCAACTCTTAGCCCTAAAAGTCCTATGAACCAGGAAATTTTTCCAGTCCTAGGCAAACTAGGATGGCTGGTCACTCTTTGAAGAGATATAGTGCGTTTCCAATAGTTTAGCTGAATTTGCAACAGGATTCTGACTTATAGGATTCAAAGACAAATATAAAGCCATTAGTCTTTTCTCTTAATAAAATTTTAGTGTTGAGGCTTTTTCAAAGAAGGAATCTATGGCCTACTATAGGGGTCTGAGGACCAACTAGAGGAGAAAGTGTATTCAACCTCTTTTTGCTTAAAATGTCATCATCCCCATGCTATTGCCTTTTTATTGCTTTTGTTATCATTTTAAAGGTTTAACAATAAAAAAGTTAAATTGCCTCAAATGGAAAAAATCTGATTTTATAAAAGAAGAGCTAAACAGATGTCAAATCTAAGGATTTACACTTAGGAAGTACACTTATTTTAATTGAAGAAACTTACTATGTCCTGGACCTATGCAACTCAATTATCAGAGCTCTTAGCAAAGAGTGCTGCCAAAGGCTGAAGTATCCTACCAGATCTCTGCAGGTCCATTCTGTGAGCTTGGGTGTCTGTTGCCAACTTTGAGAGCCAGGTCTCTGGCAAGACTCTCTCTTGCCTAATCTCATGGCCAAGATGTAAGATGCACTGTTTCTGCCCACCTCTCTCCTTCCCTTGATTTCCATCATCCACCAATCCCATTTCTCTTCTGAAAGATCTTCTTTCCAATTTCCTGACCAAAAATTGTGATGAGGGTGCAGATGAAAATGTGTTCTTGGTTAGCAGGGAGGGGATGCTTCATCATAACATCTTCTAAATTGAGCTGTTTCAACTTTAACAATACAGACTGTGTTATAAATGATCTGCTTCCTGGAATAGATCCTCCACACACAAAACAACCACTATTAGCATTTTAATTTATTTCCATCCCATTATTTGTTCATCACATATTTTTAAGAACAGAGCTATGGTCACACATGTACAGGTATGCCTAATTTTGTGTCATACTTTTTATACTTACTCGCTTGTCCTAAGCATTTTTCCATATTGCAGTATAGTCAGATGTACTAACTTTTAAAATGTGCTTCTTACATAGATCTGCAACTATGTGGGACCTGCAAAGGTTATTGTTCAGTTGGTCACAAATGGAAAAAACATCCACCTGCATGCACACAGCCTGGTGGGGAAACATTGTGAGGATGGGATCTGCACTGTGACTGCTGGACCCAAGGACATGGTGGTCGGGTAAGTGAGGGTATATGATGCTGTGAAAGGTAGGAGCAGGTAGAACATGGCACCCAGGGACTTTGCCTGGAAAGGTCCTTTTCATTAGGGGCCTTTCCAAGACCCTCAGAGGGGACCTAAAAATGAAATGTGCACAATCACTTAGACTCTGAGGAGTAAGATACCCACATGTCTGGGATTCCCTGAGACAGCCCAGTTTGCACCTATGGTCCTGACCTAATTACTTATAGCACCCCCTTTCTCTGTCAAAAGTAGCCCAGTTTGGATGATAAATTATATGATCACTTGACCAATGATGCATTTGTGCCATTTTTAGCAATATTTTTCTTCTGGAAATAAAGACAAGGAAAAATGAGAAGAAACCTAACTATAGCAAAAATCAACACAATGAATGGTTTTATATTCTTGAGAATTCCTTTAATGAAGTGTTAACTCTGGATTTATAGTTTGAATTATTTGAACATGAAGTAGATTGATAGATATTGTTTCAGTTCTGAGCTGCTTAGAAAGTGTGCACAAATAAGAAGCCAAGAAATGCAAATTTGTTTCGGCATTCATTAGACTTGAAATGTAACATATTCATTTAAGGGTTGTTCAGACAGATCAAAAATTAATTTTAAATGAATCAAGTGTTATAAAAATAAATTCAGTCCAAAAGAAGTAAGAAATTTTTAATTAATTTTGTTTAATTTTTAAGAATATCTTTCAGGGTTTCCTAATACTGGTTTATATAGTTTATGATAAAATCGTAATAGTCCAGTTAATCTGGACTATTCACACAAAAGAAAGGAATTATTTGAATCAACTATAATTAAGCTGCTGGTAGCATTTCAGACTTTGAATTCCGACCAAGTTTCAAGTTGGTTGTTATTGGAGAGATTGAGCTTTCATGTTCCTAGGTATTTCTTTGTTTGACTGTGAAAATATTCAAGTGTGAAAAACCTAGAGAGAGAGCTTTCTTTTAAGTCACAAAAATCTGATTCTTTTGATGTTAGGAAAAAAAAAAAAAAAAAAAACCTCTAGATTGGAGGAAGAAGCTTAAATTGATTTGAAAATTTCAACTGTGCTTTATATGAACTTGTTTCAACATCCTCTTGAAAGACTGGTCTGTTTCCTGTTGTATGTCACAGTTGGTTCATCGTCTGTTTTGGAATATCCTTACGGTTTCTGACTGACCTGTGAGAGCTTTGAAATGCAGGGTAATTGTCAGAGTTTCAGACTAATCGATCATTTAGTTTTCTGCAGATTTTCTCCAGTGCGGTCAGTTTGAAGTGTTTATTCTGCTTGGTGCTGTTTAATCTGTGTGATAATCATATCCTTTAGAGGAAATTATAGATCAAGTTTCCTACTAATAATATTTGTTATTATAAAACTTCAAAAAAAAAAACCTTCCAGTATGTTGTCTGTAATTTGGTGTTTCTGTGGTTTGGCTTGGTAATCTTTTGGAATTTGAGAAGGAACTAATGGTTATTTAATTTGGGACCTACAGCAGGAGTCAAAGTAAATTCCCTGTTTCCAAGGAAAGTGAGGAAATCCTTTACTCTCTTGGAATGCTGGAGTGTGGGGTTCAGTAGTTGAGAGAACTCATTCATTCATTTAATCAACATACATTTTGAGCATCTAAACTAAATTTAAATATCAAGATGTCTGGTCATGGTGCTATGGGATTTCCTAACCATGTACAATTTCACTCAGAAATTTAATAAAGAGGGTTACAATAGACTTGAGTGTCACAATAGACTCAGTAGACTTTCTTGTTCAGAGTGTTCTATGAAACATTGGTATTCTCTCTATAATTTGATTTTTAACTGAGAAACTTTTGCTTACAGTGTTTTCCAAAATGCAGTATATCATTTATGATTCATTTGTCCCTTTCGCACACATGCTCTCTCTCTTTCTCTCTCTCTCAAGTTTCCAATGTCAAACAGTAGAAAAATATCACACTAGTAGTCTGGAAACCAGAATGCTATTTCCAGTTCTGTTACTTTCAACAGTGGTACTGGGGACAATTTGCATGACATCTTGGGGACTTTAATTTCTTCCCTCATAAAATATGTTGAACTACAAAATTTATCTCCAGGCTCTTTACATCTCCACAATTCTAGACTGAACTAACACTAGCTACTATTATGAAATAACATGAGCAGACTTGCTACACATGTATTTATGGTATGCCATCGATTATTATTACTTAGTTCTAACTTGTAGGTAAGAATGGCATGTAAAGAAATTTAGAAAGGTAGCGTTATTCCTTAGACTTGTCAATACTAGAAATGGAATCAAGATAACCTATTTTCAATAATACAGCTTAAGCTGAGAGTATAGTATAGATTTACAAGCAGGGCACCAATCCAACACATCAAAAAAGTTACATAAAAAAATGACACTGAGAAGATAAATAACCATTAAATTATTAAAACTAAAAGGATTACTTTTCTTTGGGGGTTCTCAATAAAATTTAGTTTCTGTTTTCAAAGATGTTTTGTTATCTATATTAAAATATTCATGTTTTAGATAACTAAGTCATGATTGTAGGTCGGATTGCTTTAACTTGGGGAATTTGCCTTTTTGATTTTTTGGCTAGCTTTAATTTTGTCTTTTTATTTCTTATTCATTTATTTGGTTAGCCTTTAGTGCCAGTCCTCATGAAAATAATCTTAGTTTGATATTATATCATTGACCCTGAATATCAGCAATTTGTTTCAACAACATTTTAGTTCTCTGAAATTGTCATGCAATGGAAACTGTTTCTTGACTTTGCTTAAGCCACCTTCCTCACCAATAATCACCACACCCTCTGTTTGCTTCCTGGCAACCCTGATTTAGAGAGATGTGAAGTCTTTTTTTTTTTTTTTTTTTTAACTAAAATTTACAGCATATATCAGCTGGTAAGCACTGGAAGTAGATATTTAATTACAAAAATACAAAAGAAAAACATGGCCTCCCTCAAAGAACTAGTGCAGACCATATTAAATTGCTGTTTTGAGGGTCCAAAAACAATTAATTATTGGCAATGTCAGATAATTCAACCTTAATACGAACAAAAAAGAGCTATTTGGAGAAAACAAAGTATGCCCTGAAATTGGAAGTATCCAACTTCCAAATAAGAGTGTGAGTCACAGGCTGCTTTTAAATTTTGTGCTGGCTGTGAAGTCGGTGTTTGAGTCTTGAGAAGAAGAAAGGCCTGAGGGAGGGGCCACTTTAGAATCTCAACGTAGTGAGTGACACGGATATTCGAACCTACGTAGAGGGCAGCTGCAGATCCCAGATGGTGATGATGATGGTGATGGAAACATCTGGTCCAGTGCAGAGGATTTCAAACCTGGTTACTTATTAAAGTCACCTTTGGTCAACTGATAAAAATACGGATGCCAGGGCCCACTCCCAGAGATGCTGACCTCATCAGTCTCACATAGTGTAGAGCAGCGGTTCTCAACCTTTAGGGTGCATGGAGGTCCCTGGGGGAGTTGTTAAAACACAGATTGCTGAGCCCCACCCTCAGAGTTTCTGATTTAGTAGGTTTGGGATAGAGCTCAAGAATTTACATTTTAGTAAGTTCTGAGGTAATACTGATGCTGTTGATCTAGAGACTTCACTTTGACAACCACCAGTGTGAAAGACTGTGGCATTTTGAATAAGAAACAGGATTGTAGTCCCAGTCCGATTATTAGGTGTTATAACCTTTCTTATTTTATTTCTTACCAGGTTTTATTGAAGTACAATTTAAATACTATGATATTCACCCTTTAAAGTGTACAGTTTTCCAGACAGACAAAATTAAAAATCACATGATATCACCTATATGTGGGATATAAATCTAAAAGCAACAAAGGAACAGGACAAACAGAGACTCACGGACATGGACTATAGACTAGTGGTTACCAACGTGGAGGGAGTGGAGGGAGAATGGAGGTAGACAGGGTAAAGGGCGTCAAATATATGGTGACAGAAAGAAATCTAACTATGCAATGTGAACACGCAGTGTAAATATATATATATGCCTTACTGTTACAATATACAGATGAAACTTACTGGATTTTGTTAACCAATGTCACCATAAAAATAAAATTATTTACTTAATTTAAAAAATAATAAAATAAAATAAAGTGTACAGTTCTATGAATTTTGACAAACACTCATACAAGCACCATGAATCAAGGTATAGAATAGTTCTATCACCACCACACCTAAAGCCCGTGTGCCTCTTTGGAGTCAATCTTCTTCCCAGCCCAGGCCCTGGTGACTCCTGATCTAATTTCTAGCCCTATAGTTTTGCTTTTTCCAGAATGACGTACAAAAGGAATCATACAATATGTAGCTTTGTTGACTCTGGTTTCTTTCACGTAGCATAATGCATTTGAGATTCCTCCATGTTGTTGTGTGTATCAGTAGTTTATTCCTACTAATTACTAAGTAGTATTGCATTGTATCAGTGTGTCATAGCTTGTTTATCCATCCACCTGTTGAAGAACATTTGGTTTGTTTCCAGTTTTTGATGACAAAACCACTTTTTATGAGAATATACGTTTTCATTTCTCTAGTGCTTGGGTAAATATTAAGGAGTGAAATTGTAGGGATGCATGCTGAGTTTAATGTTTATCTTGGAAGAAACTGCCAAATTGTTTTCCAACAAAGCGGCTATACCATTTTGCATTCCCATGTATTAACATTTATGATCCTCATTTTTTTCTGTTGCATGTACTAATAATAATGTCTGCTCTTATTTTTTTTACATTTTATTTTAGAAATTTCAAACATATTCAGAAGTAGAAAGAATACCACCAAACTATTCTTTGTATCCCAGTATACCCATCACCCAGCTTTAACAATTATTACATGGCCAATCTTGATTTAAATATAATCCTATCTAGAGATCTTTCACTTATTGATATCTGATTTAGTGCCCTTGTGGTAAGAAAATATTTGATATGATATGAATCCTTTTAAATTTATTGAGACTGGTTTTATGGATCAGAATATGATCTGACTTGGAAAATGTTTCTGTGCACTTAAGAATGAATAGCCTGATCAAGTTGAATGAATGTTCTATAAATGCCAATTGAGTTGTTTTGATAGTGCTGTTCAAGTCTTCTATATCCTTACTAATTTTCTCTCCACTTGTTCTATCAATTATTGAGAGAGGGCTGTTGAAATCTCTGACTATATTTATAGATATACCTAGTTCTCCTTTTGGTTCTATAAGAATTTGCTGCTTATATTGTGAAGCTCTTTTATTAGATACATAAACATTTAGGATTCGTATGTCCTCTTAATGAATTAATCCCGTTTTCATTATGCAATGACCCTCTTTTATCCCTGGTGATATTCTTTGCTCTAAAATCTTCCTTGACTGATACTAATATAGCTACTTCAGCTTTCTTTTGATTAATGTTAACTTGGCACATTTTTTCCATCCTCTTAGTTTTAACCTATTTGTGTCCTTATGTTCAAAGCGAATATGCACTACATAGTTAGGTCTTACGTTTTTATTCCATCTGACACTGTATGCCTTTTAATTGGCAAGCTTAAGTAATTTATATTTAATCTGATTATTGATATGGCTATGTTTAAATCTACCATCATGCTCTTTATTTTCTGCTAGTCACATCTGTTCTTTGTTCCCTTTTTTCTCTTTTTCTGCTTTCTTTTAGATTGATTATTTGTTATAACTTCATTTTATCTCTTTTTTGTTTATACCTCTTTGTATTTTTTAGCACTTGTTTTACAGTTTTTACTATACATCTTAAACTTATCACAGTCTACCTTTAAATAACATTATGCCTCTTCGTGTATAGTAATGAATAGTATACTTTCTTATTTTGTCAAAATCAATTTTCATGCTTCTTTAAATTTATTTTTTATTAATAGTATTTTTTATATTTTTTATTTTTCTATTACAGTTGATATATATTATATTAATTTCAGTTGTACAGCATAGTTATTAGACATTTATATAACTTACAAAGCGATCACCCTAATAAGTCTAGTACCCGTCTTACACCATACAGTTATTAAAATATTATTGACTATATCCCCTAGGCTGTACTTTTGAACAGTATAGTTTTATTTCTCCTGTCAGCCTTTGTGCTATTGTGTGATAGCTATTGTGTAAAATATATGTATTTTACATTGACATGGAAATATATATTTAAATAAATATATATAAATACATATGAAATATATATTTATAATATAATACATGTCTGTGTAAAATATGACACAATATTTTTTTATTTTTCATTTAACAGTTATATTTTGAAGAAATTTTAAATAAAAAAATGTATTTATGTTTACCCACGTATTTACTTTATTCTATTTCATAGTCAAGATTTTTGTCTGCTTTCATTTTCTTTGCCTGAAGCCCTTCCTTTAATTTTTCTTATACTACTGATCTGCTGCTGATAAATTCTTTCAGTTGTTTGTACTACTGAAACTTTATTTTGTCTTTGTTTTTCAAAGATATTTTTGAAGAGTGTAGAATTTTAGGTTGACATTGTTTTTCTTTCATATCCTTAAAATATGCTGCTCTAGGGTCTTCTGGGTTGCCTTGTTTTCATCAAGAAATCTCTCGTCATTCTTACATTTGTCCCTCTTCACTTAGTGTGTCTTTTTTCCTCCATCAGATTTTCAGATTTTCTTTTCACTGCTTTAAAGAAATTTGAGTATAATGGGCTTTTAGTGTAGTTTTCTTCATGTTTCTTGTGCTTTTGGGTTTATGAAATTCTTGTATCTCTGGTTAAATTTTTAAACTTTTCAACCATTATTTTTTTTTAAATTTTTTCCATCCATTTCTCTTTTTCTTCTTCTCTGGAACACCAATCACATGCATGTTTGGCCTTTGAAATTGTCCCACAGCTCATTGATGATCTGTTCTTTTTAAAATTTTTTCAAATTTTTTTCTGTTTCATTTTGGATAGTTATATTACTGTGTCCTCAGGTTCACTAATCTTTTGTCTACAATGTCTAATATGTTCTTAATCCTATTTTTCTTCTCTGACATTGTAGCTTTCATCTCCACAGGGTTGTTTGGAGTCTTTTTTTATATCTTCCACATCTATCCTTAACATACTAATGCCTTCTACCTTCTTGACCGTATGGACCATATATATAATAGCTGTTTCAATGTACTTGCCTGTAAATTCGGTGTTCCGTCTTAGTTCTGTGGTTTTTTTCTATTAACTGATTTTTATCCTCATTGTGAGTTATATTTTTCTATGTCTTTGAATGCCTGGTAATTTTTTATTGGATGGCACACATTTTGGATTTTGCTCATGCTGAGTTTTTTGTTTGTTTGTTTGTTTGTTTTTGTATGCCTTTAAATGTTTTTGAGCATTGGGATGAAGTTAAATTTGGGAACAGTTTGATCCTTTCTAGATTTACTTTTAGGTTTTGCTAAGGAGACCAAAGCAGCTTTAATACAGGGTTAATTTGATATCATTAGTAAGGCATTTCTGAATATTCACCCTGATGATCCATGTATTACAAAATTTCCTGAACTATTCCAGCTCTGTGTGTCCTCCAAGAATTGTTTTGCCTGCTCCTTTATGGAAGTTCTTTTCCCAGCCTTGGGTCATTTCTTCATACGTATGCTCTAAAAAGTACTCAGCTGAAGACTCAAGGTGGAGCCCCTGTACATCTCTGAGTGTCTCTCTGTATGTAGCTCTTTCCTCTCTGGTACTCTGCCTGTGAATTCTAGCCTCCTCTGCCGCCTCAAATTTTTAACTCTGTCTCCTCAACTTAGGGAGATCACCAGGTTCTGTCTGGGGTCCCCCTTCCTGTGCTGCAGCCTGGAAACTCTAGGTATTAAGCCAGCCTAATAGTCGGATTCGCCTTATTTGTTTCCTTTTCTTAAAGATCACTGTCCTGTGCTGCCTGTCGTCCAGTGTCTGAAAAGAATTTTTTTCATGTGTTTTTTGTTGTTTAAGGTGAGATGTTCTATCGGTCTCTGTTACTCCATCATTACCTGAAGCAGAACGCTAACTTCTATATTTATTACCAGAAGTAATAAATTTTTGTGGTAACATTATTTCATTTACTACCAGAGTAAATTCACAATTCACGTAACGAATAATAAAAATATGCAGTATATCATTGCATATTTTTCTGTGCTGTATTAATTCATGCATTCATTGATTCAACAGACATTTATTAGACACCCATGTGTCAAGCACTGTTCTAGGCTTGAGAGCTTAAATTCCCTTAGTGTATTTTCTTCTGTGTATTTGTCTCAGCTGTCCCACTTTTTCAGTCATTGTCTAGACACATGTCTTGTTCTATCTGTGAGCCTCTCAATGAGGGTTCAGCCCATTCTCCCTTCAGCTCATGTTTCCTTTCCCTAGTTGATGTGGTCTTCCCACATTATCATATTCTTTGTTTCATTCAATCCAGTTGTCATAATATTTTTACCTTTTCTCAACTAATCTTTTTTTTTTCTTTCTGGGTAAAAGCCAGAAAAAAGGAAAAGTACATACAAAAGCTTACAAAGCTTTAAAGATCTGTGCCTCCACTTACCTCTTTGAACTCCTCACTTTCTACTGACCTCTTTTCCATTTTCCTCCAGCCACCTTGGCCTTCTTGCCATTGTCGTCTTTAGAAAACACTAGGCATGACCATATCTCAGTGTTTTTCCACTTGCTATTTCTTTTGCCTTGAATGTTTTTCTTCCACATATCCATGTCTTTCCTCTCACTTTCATCAAGTTCTTGCTCAATGGTCATCTTTTCAATGAAGTCATTTCTGGCCTCTACCTATTTTAAAGTGCCATGCCTTCTACTACCTCTCTTATTCCCCATTCCTACCTTATTTTTGTGGTAACGTTATTCTAAATTATAATGTAAAATTTGCTTCTTTGTCTTTTCTCTGTTGTTCACTAGCATATAAATTCTATGAAACTAGAGATTCCTTTACTGCTGACAGGAGCACCAGGACATTGCCAGACATTAAAAAGGAGTTAAATAAATATTTGTAGAATGAACGAGTCTTCTTGGTAGAGTACTTTTTTGTTTGTTATATTACATTTATTGACCATATTTCTTTGTTTTGTGTACTTTATTTTAAAAAATAAATAGCTGGAGCATTTTATATATATATTTTTAAATCCTTTAAATTGCTTTATTTAGCTTATTAACGTATTTTGCTCTATAGTTATGTAGCCTTCACGAGACAAAAGATTCTCCATTCCTAATTACAGGTATAGTTTCAGGCCTGAGTCCATGTAGAAGTAGATGACATTCTATTAGTACTAAATCTTTCTAACCTTCTAGATAACCCAAGAGGAGATAGAATTCCAGGAAAGGGACTTCAAACAGGACCTAGACTTTAAATCCTATCCAGAAACCTAAGGATGATCCAAAAGGAAAAAAAAAAAAAAAAAACACTCCAAAATATAATATTCCTCTCATTCTGGGGAAAAAAAAAAAAAAGAATTAGAAAAGTTAGTACTATATTTGGAATTTAAAAAATCGTATACAACTCTCCTAGAAAACACTTTAAAATTAGTCCAGACAAAATTGCCTATTAAGTTATATCTACTCCACTCTCTTAATTATAATTTGAAAGTCTAATAAGCTATGAAAACCAAAAAATTTTGCTAAGTTTACCACAGACTCATTTGGTGGCAAAACCCAATCTGCCCTGATGTGCAGCTGGTTATAGTCTTTATTTTCCCATTTGGTGAGTCTACTTTATGTTTCACTGCAGAAATAGTAATACATGTGATTATAGTGTGGGCCCCAGCGATTGAGGATTTTTTTTAAATCCACTTTACTCAAGTGAAACCATACTCTCTAGTCATTGACTACCTAACTTATGGTGGTGGTTGTTGCTGTTATTATTTTTTCTCCAGCTTTGCAAACCTGGGTATACTTCATGTGACAAAGAAAAAAGTATTTGAAACACTGGAAGCACGAATGACAGAGGCATGTATTAGGGGCTACAATCCTGGACTTCTGGTACATCCTGATCTTGCCTACTTGCAAGCAGAAGGTGGAGGAGACCGGCAGCTCACTGGTGAGTGTCACTCTCCCAGCCTTGCTCCTTTGAGATCTCAGACTCTCATTTTCTCTTGTGTAGACTATGTGCTCGTCTCCATGTCCGAGGTTTCTCTTTCTCCTAATCTATACCCAAGCTGCTCCCTCCCTTTTCCTACTCAGAAACCTTTGTTGATATCCTGCTACCTCTAGAATAAAACCTCGACCTCTGTACCTGGCATACAAAGCCCTCAAAGTCTGTCCCCTGACACTTTTCTAGCATCATCTCCGATCCCACCCTGTACCCACTTCTCCCTGTCACTGCCTCCTGAACACCTGATGCATCTTTTATACCTTTGTATGTGTATTTCTCTACCTGAAACAGCCTACACTTCTCTTTTTAACTTGTCAAAAACAATTCATATTCAAGATTTAGTTCAAAAACACCTCCTCTGTTATACTTCCCCAGCTTACCTTCTTATAAGGAATCTTTCCTTGGGCTTTTCAGGCACATTATAAACTATTCATTTTATCATGAAAATGATTTTGTATTTTCCTGCTTTTACTCATGTTTTTTTCTCTCAACCCCAATTCTTGGCTTACCGCATACACCATTTCTGCTTTTATATGTTGTCCTTTAGTCTGGCCACCCTGTCATCATATTCAGATGATCCAAAACCAGTCATCATTTTTCCATTAAACATGTTTCATCTTCTGACACCCATATTCTAAACCATCTCGTCATCTTTGTCTCTTCCTTCTCCCTGGGCTGCATCTCCAGTTAGTGGTCCAGCTATGCTGTGCTCTCTCTGGTACTCCACTCCTTACTCCATTTTCATTGCTCCGTCTCTGTCCCTCCCGACTTCTAATGGAGTTTCCACCCTATGGTCAGATCGATCTTACTAAGGCCTACATGTCACCCTATTACCTACAAAATCCAAATTCTGGAAGCTGGCACTTTAGACCTCCCAGAAGCTGGCCCTATTCTGCATTTCCAATTCTGTTTCCCACCGTACCCCTCATGCCAAACTGAACTACTCCATTGAAGCACCATGATTTCTCACTTCCTTGCATTGGCACATTCTTTCTATTCTTGCTGTTCCCTGCTCTAGAAATGTTCTTATTCACCTGCTCCATAAGTTCAAGTTCTTCCATCTTTTCAAGAGTTAGAGCAAATGTCTACAAAGCCTCCAGATTCTCCTCTCCTTTAAAATTTCATATCATTTCATCTGTAGCTCTTTGATAGTATTTATCACTTGAATGACCACTTTTTACGTTATAAGTTAATTTCAAGTATATTCATCTGTATAAAAGCTCCTTCAGGAGGGAAGGAAGGTGACAAATGCAATTGAGTCATTCAGTTCCTTCAGAAGTACTTTTTGAGTATGCTCTATGTGCCAGGTCTGGTGCTAGGCATTGTGGAAAGAACATAGTCTCTGTGCTCAAAGAGGTTTTTAAATACTTAATTTTCACATTTCTCAATACCAGTGGTGCGTAGTTGTCTTATTGCATTCCATTGGATCACATCCTTTGTGCCTTCAACTCATAGTTGTGTAGGGAGGAAAGGGAGAGTTCAGGGGACAATAGGAAAGGAGAGAGGACAATTGGAGAACAATTTTTACTGTAATCCAAAGGAAATGCAGATCTTCTTTTGAAGCCTTTAATTTTGGATGACATAAATGGGACAAACTTTAAAATTTTATTAGCAACATGAAGAATTTCAAGGGGAAAAAAAACTTTTTATTTTAAGTTAATATTATTTGGGCTTTATCAAAGCATCAGATCTAAAATGTTCATGCTTTCCTCTTTCCTGGGCATGAATGCCCTGTGCTGTATGGTCCTAGATCGGGAAAAGGAGATTATCCGCCAGGCAGCTCTTCAGCAGACAAAGGAGATGGACCTCAGCGTGGTGCGGCTCATGTTTACAGCTTTTCTTCCAGACAGCACCGGCAGCTTCACAAGGCGCCTGGAACCCGTAGTGTCAGATGCCATCTACGACAGCAGTGAGTACTTGTCTTCCAGTGGGAGAGGCAGCTCCATATACTGTCAAGAACAGACTTGCAACCTGCCCCGGCAGTTTACTTACTAGCTCTGATTCCCAGGGCAGGTAACTTTATCACTTGAAGCTTCATGTTTATCATTTACAAAATGGGAGTACTAAAATCTAATATAAAAAGTTGTTGCCTAGATTTAAAGTGAAATGTTATGAGGTGCTGCATAAATGTAGTTCTCCTTCCTCTGATGTGCATTTTATTCTTTTGCATCTCTTATTGCTCTGAGGACATATTGTTGGTGCACTTAGAAGGGAAAAGTATCTCGTTTTTTTTCTGTTGGGACTCTGAAGAGAAGTTAATAAAAGACAACTATTATTTTTATCTAACTTCATTCTCACATGTCATAACTTTATCAAGGAACTTTGAGTTAACTGAATGAGCACTACATATAGTATGTGACTTCAAAATTCTATTTCAGTCTATAGTTCCTAGAATTTTTTAAGAGTTTTACAGTGATCGTCAGCCTTATGCAAATTTCTTATTCGATGTATATCAGATTTATTCAATGGATATTTCCAAAAAGCCTGCAAGTACAAGACTTAGGCTTATTAAAAGTATAAAGGTTTGTCTAAGTAGAAAACACTATGCTCCAAGTACAACAACTAACTGATTTCTCTAATTTAAACAAGTTTGAAAGGAAGTGAAAGAGTTATAAAATGATGAAAACTCCCATACTAAAGATCACCTTAAAATGCAGCTGTTGGGGGGAAAAAAAAGGAAGCTTTGTACTATTACCACACAAAACTTTTGCCCCCTAACCACACAGAATTCTAATTTAGTTTGGGGAAAAGAAATATAACATCTCTATTTCTCTTTTCTGTAGATTAAAAATTAATAAACAGTTGAAGAAAATTGTGCTTCTCATAAATTTCTAGGATTCTTGTAATGATATCTCAATATTATGGAAATAAGTTTGAGGTGACAGTCTTGACCTAATTGAAATTCCACAAATCCACTGGCTTTATACGTCCTGGAACATCAGAAGAGATCTTTCTCTTTCCGTATTAATCTCTGTCTGCGTTAGTGGAAGACAAAGATTGCTCCTTTCTGCCCCATCTATTTTGGTCATAATGAATGACCCATGCCCAGGAAGTGCTCCGAGGACTTCAGAAAGCATTTTGGTCTTATTTGTGTCCTTGTTAAAACAAGATGAGTGAAAGTATCTATTTAAACTTTCTTTGGTTAGTGTGTGCTAAGGGCAAGATCCCTCATAAGACATTGGCTTGTGAAGCTCAGGATAAACTATGATGTCTGTTTTTTTTCTCCTGTGGACAGAAGCCCCCAACGCGTCCAACTTGAAAATTGTAAGAATGGACAGGACAGCTGGATGCGTAACTGGAGGAGAAGAGATTTATCTTCTCTGTGACAAGGTTCAGAAAGGTAAATATATGATCTGATTTCAAGATGTGAAATATTCTGAGTGTATCTGTGAGTCACTTCTTGGCAATGGACCCAGTAATATCTCTTGTGCCATAGAACTTGTAAAATTTATACATCTCACCTCTTCCAAATTTAAGTCGTCTGTATTATTTTTTTAAACCCAACTAATTCATTTAAAATTTTTCAACAGAAGGAAAGAGAATTTTTAAATGGTGGTAATCAGTGATATTTCAGTGTTTTTATACTTTAAGCTTTGGTACCTGTACTTAGTTAAATTAAAATGAAAGAGTAATAGCCCATGCTTCATGCACACACACACTCACACTAGATGATGTTTTGTTTGTACTATGTGCCATTGAGTTGGCTAGGACTCCTGGAGATCCTATGAATGAGCAAGATACACAATGTCCTGTCCTCAACAGCCCTGCTCAGCTTCTGTAGACTCATGCCTATGGCTTCTTTTATGGAGTCAATCCATCTCATATTTGGTCTTCCCCTTTCCTACTGCCTTCCATTTTTCCCAGAATTATTGTCTTTTCCAAAGAATCCTGTCTTCTCATGATGTGCCCAAAGTAGGACAGCTTCAGTTTTGTCATTTTTTTCTCCAGCAGAGTTTCAGGCTTAATTTGCTCTGTGGCCCACTCGTTGCGGAATCCAATGTTTTACGTAGTATAAAATTATTTTGTTTATCGTACAATGCTTTGTTGCAACACTGAGAGAGCCTCTCTGAATACTCTCACGTGATGAGAGCTAAGATTATAAGGAAATTCTCAGAGCATATTTCTCTCATACTTTTCACTTTCGGAAAAGGTTCTTGGCATTTATCTATCAATCATTAGATATAGTAAAAGATTGGTCAATTAGCAAAAGCCAAAGGAGATTGTGCTATTTTCTCAAACTTCACTCATTTTTAAAATAAAATGATAGGAAGTATAGTATAATAAAGATCTACTCACTATAAAACGATGAGCATTTTCAAAGTAAGCAGATGCATAACTGGAAATATAGTCCCTAAATAAAATAATTATGGCTTTAAAAAAGAGAATATTCTCATCTGAGGCTAAATGCTCTGAGGTAAAAAGTCAGAAAAAAATGGGATCATATATCAGGTTTTAAGGTAAAGGTATATATCTTTATCCAAAAAAAAGTTTACACTTTTTTCCGCTTATCCTGGTATCATCCTTCTTTTAACCCATTCTGTCTAAGTAACATGCAATTCCAGATTCCTAGGTATGCATACTGAGTAAACACAATCTGATTAACTTCAGTTGCAAATGTGATTCTTAATCATTGTCGTTACATTGGAATGGCTTATTAAGAGAAGTCTGTATCTAGCTTAAAGAATCTAAATAACCAAGTTCATGGTAGTCCATCTGAAGGCAAAGGAATAGTGCATTTCTTCCTTTGAAATGGGAATTGAAGCCAGGGAGATACCAACCTGAGTTATATTGTCATATTTCTGCAGAAGTGTGAAATTTAGGCATTCTACGTTAATTCGAAGGGACTTGACCAACATATTTTTAACAGTTTCTCAATAAGGATAAATAAAGTACTAGAGGGAGGCAGCATAGTAGAATATTTAAGTCAGAAACTATATTGTCTGTGTTCAAACCCTGGCTTCTCCATTTACTGCTGTTCAACCTTAGATAAGTTACTTAATCTCTCTGAAGTCCCGTTTCTCTTCTCCAAAATGAGGATATTAATATTACACCTGCATCACAAAGCTATTGTGAGGATTTAATCATTTAATATATACATGTAAAGCACTTAAAACTGTCTGCCATATAGTAAACTTTATGTAAGTTAAATATTATATAAATCCAAATCAAGTTGAATCACACCTTTTGGAATTCTGATATTCTTCACTATCCTTCATATTTCTCAGGAGGGAATTGATTTAAGGATAGAGAAGTGGGGATAGTCAAAGATTGATTATGAGAAAACTGTGATTGAATAGGTAAATCTAGTATTCTGTCATTATAAACGAAACTTGGACCCCATTACTGCCGTAACTAATAAAATTAGTGATTTGTGAAAATTTTAAATTATTCAAAAGTTTATTTCATATTAATTACCGTCAAAAGAGTTTAAGTATATAGTAAGTAGAATCTAGAACCAACTTTATTTTTCAGCATGTTTATAAATATTATTACACTGTGTGAAATTACATGCCTGAATGTGACTGTTTGCAGATGACATCCAGATTCGATTTTATGAAGAGGAAGAAAATGGTGGAATCTGGGAAGGATTTGGAGATTTTTCCCCCACAGACGTTCATAGACAAGTAAGTGGATGATGATGTTATGTTTTCTGCCTTGTTGAAATTCAGTACTTAGCTTCCATATATGAAAACAGAAAAATCATAAATGTTTATTTAACTTTCATAAAAGAATATTATTTTAAAGACTATCTGAGGTCTTGCAGAAAAGTTACCTACCATAGAATTATGGGCTAGCCTCTATAAAAACCATTGGCTCTGAGACCTGGGCAAGACTTTTCATTTGGGTATCTGATCGCCTTAGCCATAAGGCAGTGAGTGGCCCTCAGGTCCCTTAGTGGAAATGTTTAAGTGTTTGTATTTAGTATGTTCAGGCTGCCGTAACAAAACACCACAGACTGAGTAGATTAAACAAGAGAAATTTATTTTCTCACAGTTCCAGAGACTAGACATCCCAGATCAGGGTCTATCAGGGTAGATTTCTAGTGAGAGCTCTCTTCCTGGCTTCCCGATGACCGCCGTCTCACTGTGTCCTCTCACGGTAGAGAGAGAATAGGCTCTCTGGTGTCTCTTCTTATAAAAACACTAATCCTGTCCAATCAGGGCCCTATCCTATGACCTTTTTTAACTTTGATTACATATGTAAAGGCCTTATCTCCAGATACAGCTACGCTAGGAGTTAAGGCTTCAACATACAAATTTTGGGGAGACACAATCAGTCCATAGCAGTGTTCCACTGGGTAATTGTGGTGAAACCTGTTACAACGGAATTCTAATGAAAAGTGTTGAAGGGAGGAATTTCCTAGTTGAGGCTGATGTTATCATGATAAATCAAGATTTCCCAGTGACAACTGAGTATATGACTAAGAGATGAAAATGCTAAATCCTCATCTTAATGATTACTCTAAGTGACTGAGGAATACTATTTTCATAGAAAATTGGAAGCAATCCAAATATCCATTAATAAGTAGCCAATTAAATAATGTTGTGTCTGTGTGGTGGAATATTATATAGTTATTAAAAAGAATGAGTACTCTATGAACCAATATGGAAAGATCTCAAAGATACAACATTAAAAATTCTTTTTTAAATAAGTATAAAACAAAGTGTATAGTTAAAAAAGATTCTGTGTTCATGTTTGCATAAGCATAAAGAAATTCTAGAAGAATACGAAAGAAATTAATAACTTCTCTGCGTTTACCTCTGGGGGAGGGTCAGGCACACAGTAAGAATTGCTTGGTGGGAGACACGCATGGCAAGACATTTCGACGTATACCATTATATACCTTTTTATATATTACAAATTCTTGATCATTCTGAATATACTACATCATCAAAAAATCAAACTAGAAAATGTAAAAGTGCCTAACTATTCTAGTACTACCAGAAATTAATGAGGAGGCTATCTAACAGAATGCCATATAATATGCCTTGAGCCCTGGCCATTCTCACCTCAAAATACACTGACCCTGTGATGATATCTTCCTTGCAGGATTTAGTTTCCTCTCCTTATTGGCTGGCCTACAGGCTAATAGTAGTATCATCTTCCTCATCTTTTTCTTCCCACATCCATTCTTTCTAACACTGCTGTAAATAATCATCTTGGAGGCTTTTAAGGCTAATTTGAAAGAGGAGAAGGTGTATGCAATGTATTTTAGTCACATTATTATTTACAACCGGAAGACATTTTAAATATTAGACGAGTAAATAATAAATATTTGCAATATTTTGGCATAGTCTTGCTTCATTTCCACAGTGGCAATTTAACAAAAATGTATGGGTATAGAATTCTGAGTTCGTAACTTTCTCTAGGGTGCTGTACTTTTTGTACACTGTGTGTAAACATTGGGCATAAAGATTGTGTTTAATGAGTAACATTGTTGGAAAAAAAAAAAAATGTAGTCCTGCCCCAACATTTGGATCTTTTTATCCTGCAGTTTGCCATCGTCTTCAAAACTCCAAAGTATAAAGATATCAACATTACAAAACCAGCCTCCGTGTTCGTCCAACTTCGGAGGAAATCTGATTTGGAAACCAGTGAACCAAAACCTTTTCTCTACTACCCTGAAATCAAAGGTAACTCAATTGTTTATAGTCTTGCTTATTTCAATAATTGTACAAGCCGATTAGAAAGATCGATTAGTCACCTCCTTTGAACAACTTCCTAGTAACTGGCCCCTGGATCTCAGGAACTTATTTTTAGGCAAGAGAGAAGTAAAACACTACTTGGGGGTCATGGAATTAAGCTTAGCCTTTTAAAATAATGTTATTTCCACCAAGCATATATGAGATCTAGACATGTGAGAATTTGTCTTTGAATTTGAAACACTATTATTTATGGAGTAAATACAAAGACAAAGCTCGCTTTGAGAATTTGTCTTTGAATTTGAAACATTATTTATGGAGTAAATACAAAGACAAAGCTCGCTGTGTAGGAGAGTCAGCCACTTCATTAATGGGCCTCAGGCAGGTGAACAGGAGACTGAGTAGTGCAAAACTATAAAAACAAACAAAGCACCATTCTTTTTCTCACAAAAGACACACCAAGAAAGGGAAATAATCGTCTCCTTAAACAGTCGTAATGCTAATTAATGATTCTGGTACATTCCAAAAGTGAAGTGTCCACAAATACATATAGGAATGCTGAGAAGAGAGCCCTTGCTTCTGAAGCCTCTGAGAAGAAGGCTTCTTCGAGGTCCTTAAAATTGGGGAATATATTTCAGTAGTTGGGTGCAAAAGGAAAAAGGACAGAGTTACCTAGCCCTCAAGAGACTTGAGCTAAGGCAATTTGTGTTTATTCAGAAAAGTGAGCATTACCAGCTCTAAGATGGACTACTGAGGCCAAAGCAGGAACGGAAATCCAGCGCTAGTCTCTGAAGTGCCATGATTGGCAGCTAAAGATTTTTTCATTGATTCTGGAGAGGGGAACGACCAGGCCTGTTTGAATTTGGGGTGATGGCCCTGAGTCACTGAAGAGACTATCTGGGCAGCAGACAATGAGTCAGAAGAGTAATGCAAGAATCCAAGTGAGAAACAATGAGGTTATTAAAGGTATCAGTGTAAGGAATGAAAGGAGAAGGTGGATTCAAAAGGCGGTTCAGTGATGGTATCAAGAGGACCCAGATGCTGGTTGAGGTAGGAGGTAAAGGAGAAATTCAGGTGTCATAGATGGTTCTAGGAATCTCAGCCAAGGAAGGTCGTGATTGGTTGAGTTGATGAAAGAATCAGGGGAACAAAATAAGTGTGGGTGGGCAAAGTAGGAGCTCAGTTTAAAACATGTTACTCTTTAGGTTCCTGTAGCAAATTCCTAATAGGCCAATCAAAAGGCAAAACTGGACCTCAAGAGAGGACAGGGTAGGAAATTCAGCATTGAGAATCCTCTCAGAATGGTTGTAACACGCCCCTAAACTGGATAATTTTTCAAAAGTATTTTTTTTAACCTGGTGTCCACTTGACCCCTCAAGGGGTCCATGGACAGGAATGTACTTTAATATAATTAGCTTTTCTGTAATCTTATTTTGTATTTTACATACTGAAAACTGTGATTCCGAGAAGTGATCCAAAGACTTCACCAGACTGCAAAATGAACCATGGCACAAACAAAATTAGAAACCCTTGGGCTAGAAGGAAGTGAGACTTGGAAAAGGAGGTCAGGAAATGATTGTCACAGGCACCCAGGTCCTGGCTGAGGTTGAAAACCACTAAGGTGCCACAGCAACGACCCACACATGTGTTGGATCCTGTGATAGCAACATGTGATGGGTGATTTTGAAAAGGACTTTCTTTTCCTAGAATTCATGTTGTGTCAGGAGCATTTAGAAGATGCTTCTGTGGGTACTTGTTTCTTTCCTGAGGTTGTGACCTCTCTACTAATGAGTCAGATTTATAGTGCATTCTCTGGTGGTTTGAAAACATTGTCAGGAGACATTCTTTTCCCTCCACATGAAATTTCATGCAAAATCTCAGTATAAAAACCTGATAGACAATGGTTAAAACAGAGGTGGAGAGCTCTGCCCACTTAGCCTTCCCCAGAAGCTCTCACCTCTCTTCATTTTCCCACCGAGGAGCTGCCTGAGGTCTTCTGAATGCTTCAGTCTGCATAAAATTTGAAAATCGCTCCTTTAGATTAAATATACTTCTTTAAAAGTCAACACAGAAGGGAAACACGGCACATTTTTCTAACTTTATGAAGAAAAAAAGATTTTTTTTTAATGACCTGTTTTATGAAAAAAGATTTTTAAAAGATTTCTTGTCCTAAAATATGTTTTCAAAATAATGTTGATTTTTCCAACAGAGAATTGTATTTAAATAAGAGAATTTTATTTAAAAAAAAAAAAAAAAAAAAAAACCCAGATCTGTATGAACTGAGAAACCGAACTTGGTTTCTAGGCTGCATGTCTGCCTTTCCTAGGGGTGTCTGTGTTTTAAGAGAGTATGATACAAGAGGGGCATGTTCAGACTATTACTTTCATTGCTACCCTGTCATGGTAGGAGTTGTCTGATGCTGGAATTAGAGAATAAGGTCTCCTGAAAATTCAAAATCCCACCTAAATGCTTCAAGCACTTACCTTCCAGGCCATCATTGACTAAAAGCTCGATGCAATACAAACAATAAAAGAAGAACCCTCTGGAAAAATAAGGGTTAGCTGTTGAGTTTCACAGAAAGACTAGCCAACAAGTATTGTGACTGAGTCATTGTGAGATTAGACCTGTTTTATCGAAAGTAACAAATTACCTTAGTCTATAAAACCTTCTGGATTATAAAATCCAAAACTGAAATAACCACAAGGAGAAACAATCCCACCAGGCATGTGACTAGTCAAAAAGTAGCAGTCCATTTAACATAAAAGTAAAGGAAAATGATCCAAACTATATAACCCAAATGAATCATTATATATATTTCTCAGAAGTCACTGAACACATCTTTCACTGCCCCACGCCCTGCAGGCACTCCCTGTCTTACTGCCTAATTTTATATTCTTCATTATTTTTATCAGTATGTAAAATTGTCTTATCTGCTAATTTATATGTCCATTGTCTTCTTCCTACCTCCAGTAGGAATATTTTTTAGGTCAAAGATTTGGTCTTTTATGTTCATTGCCACATCTCCAGCATCTAGAACAATATATGTCACATAGCAATGCTCATTAAATATCTGAGAACTGACTCATTGATTGTCCAACCAGGTTGCCATCCTCATCCAAAAGGCTAGTAATTTGTTGAGTGCCATCAAGTAGCTCATTAGATAAAGAAATATAATATATTCTTCTTGTACAGAATTATCCAGTCCTGAACTCTGCATCTTTTATGATCATTGGCATTGAACCTCATAGAAACTTCATGGAGATGGTTGGGTCCAGGGCAGACAGTTAAAATAATCAAGAGAGGGATGATTGGCAAGGGAAGAAGGCAGCTGCGGAACGGCCTAAGGAATGAAAGACCATATGACTTTGCAGTCTGAAAAGATGGAGATTAGGAAGGAACAATCATAACCTGTAAACTATGAAAAGTATGGTCAGGATAAATGCAGACATCTTTGCTGACAAACTAGAACCTGAAAAGTGAGAATGTGGTACTTTTAAAGCACAAGCACAGCAAAAGGTGGTAGAGGCTAAAAGTTTATATTTGTGAACTAACCTATTATTTTTAAATCATTGATTATTAAAAGAAGCACAGATATTTTGGAGTGTTTCCCAAAGAATGGCAGCCTAATATAATGGAAAGCTCACTAGAATTTGGATCTGATCTTCACTCTACCCTGACCTCAGACAAGTCCCTTAATCATCCTAGCTTCGATTCCTCCTCTATAAAAAGAAAGCTTATAGTGAGTGGCCACTTAGCTCCCTTCTAGAACAGGTTGTTGTTATATAGTACGTCCCATGGGGCCACTATCAAAAGCAGACCACAAAGATAAATGAGCCCAGTATGAAAATCTCTACATAATCTTCAGTTTTATGGAAATGTAGACTGCTGGAGTTTTTGTTAAAAAGCTTCTCATGTGGAATTTTTTATATCAGTTTGTTGCCATTGAAATTTTAATGGCTGTAGGATATTTAATATTTTTTAATAGGCTCTTAAAAATTCCAGTTTTTCAGTGAAATAACCAGTGAATGTCTCTGTTTTGTAAGTCGAAAGAAGTACATAGCAAACACAAAATGATCTCTTTGATAGAAAATATGTCAATAGATAACATTTTTTTCTGAAGATAAATAAGTTGTCTACTTCCCTCTTGTGTTTCATATTCCTAATGAACTAATATTCTATGTGAGATCAACGGTTTATAGGGTGAGTAATAAATATGACTATTAGTTATTATACAACAGATGGAAAAATTTTATAAATCTGTCCAAAACCTTTAATAAGGAAACTGTTTAAGTTTCTACACTTTGAGATCATCTCTTTCTAATAGAAGCACAGTTTCTTCAAAGGTGACTCATGTTGACTTTTTTCTTCCTAACAAGTCCCGACATGATCAGTTTTTAAAACATTATTTTCTAAGTACACTTTGCTACCCTACTTTCCCCTACTTCATCTTTCAACTGCACTCAGATGATCGCAAGATAATCAGTAAACAATAGCATTCTCTCTAGCCCTGAGATGATAGAAACAACCGCAGAACTAGAAATAAGTAAAGATATTTCTGAACACAAGCAGCAGCCAAAACTGACATGGAAGAATCAGAAATAGGATAGTCATTAAAATTAGGCTACTGATTGAAAAAAAGGATACCACATTGACTGTTTATTCAATTTAAACAAAAAAAACTTTTTTCACTGCTTTAGCCCAAAAGAGAGAAGGGAGAAAAAATATATAGTAGGAAAATCAGAGCAAAGAAAAGGCAACAGAAAGAAGAAACAAGAACGCAGCAATAGACCACAAAGGCAGTGCCAGAACTCAGAAAGACAGCGGAGCTAGTGAGAGGCACGGATAGTGAGAAGCTAAAGAAAAACAGAGCAACCACATGAGGAATGAGAGAAGAAAGTCTAAAGAGCATCTAGACCTAGACAATCAAATCTCTCAGCACCTCTGAGAGTAGTGATCTTAGACCTTCAGCTTTCCACATCCCATCAGTCACCCCAACAGATACAGATCCCTCTTCTTATGTGTTTCTGGGGTCCACCCATTTTTATAATCATGGGACCACGAAGGAACAACCTCTCTACCTCTTGCTTTGACTCTATTGTGTCCTCTGTACCAGTGACAGAGGAATCTTCCTAAAATGTCACCACCACACATTATTCTCCAGTTCAAAAACATTCGTTGGCTTTCCTACCTGTAAGTTAAATTCCTTCAGTTTATAATTCAGGTGCTCCACAGTGTGGTCTCAGTCAGCTCTGTTTCTTAAGAATTCCTCATACTAAACTGTCACTTCAGCTAAACTGTTCTACTGTTGTTCTCATGAGCACACAGCGCAC